CCCCAAAACCCCAAAACCCCAAAACCCCAAAACCCCTAAAAGAATTTTGGATAAAAGATAGATTAAATTGTATAGAATTATAATTGAGAGGCGATATATTGATTAGATCATATGATTTATATCATCACCGTCAATATCTTTAAAGACATGTATTCTTTAATCTCAATTCTCTCGCTCCTTTCACTCCCATGTCTTTTTTATATTGAAGGTGTATTCAAATTGCATATGTACTATGCCATCGTTATCAATAAACAAACTTTTTCCCTTATATTATCCTCTATACAAGAATCCACCTGGAGTTTCCTCAGGTGTAAGATCAATAGTGTATACCTTGTCAAGAGGAGCAAATGTGCCCATGACCTCTTCATACTTTTCGACAACTATTGACTTCTTTTTAACTACATTGCAGTATTTCAGCCCATATACGATATCGTTATGTACTTTGAAAGTAACTCTAAGTTGCACAGTAGATTTCTGTTTCAAAGTGTAATCTTGAGCTTAGAAAACTCCTCCCACCTATTATAGAAAATTTTCAATTAAAATCATGTTCATTCACGAGTAATGATAATTCGTAATCATCTTATGAGCAGATAATAATTGTAAAATGATACTTTGACTTACTTCTTTCATTTCAAGTTTGATTGGTCCATTTGGCCTATCATCACATATCACTTCTACACTGATAATTTCAACAAGTGGAGCTGTTAGGAAATTATGTAAGTTTTTAAATATTACGGCGATCATCAGTTGAAATGTTGTTTGCCAAGTCTCCCAGTAATGCATATTTGTACCTGGCTAACGCTTCATCTTCTGTATCCTATTAGCAATTATAAAGAAATATCTTTTAATAATACCTTAAGCACAATTTCTTTAATAGTCATTCTTTAGGCTTTAGGCTGCTCTTAATTCTTTTTCCAGAAATCAGGAACCTCATCTTCTGGTAAATCTCTTATCATGCAGCTTTGCTATCTCACCCTTATATCACCTGCATCATCCTGGTATCCCAAAAACTTCTCAGACCCCGGAATGTTATTTTTTTCTTCCTGAAAGTATAATTGATTAAATTAAGTAAGTAAGTCTACCTCATCTACAAGTGAGTCAAAAGTGAGCCTGTTTTCAACTTAATTACTCAAACTTTCCACCATTGATATTGAATTTATATTTTTGATATTTTTAACTTTTCAATTGTCTAGTTTAAGATATACAATTTCATTTCTTGGGGTTTTGGGGTTTTGGGGTTTTGGGG